AATCATATAAATCATATATGCATACTAGATATGAGATCATAATTTTATATGCAAGATCAAATCAAAGAAACACATTTCAAATCATTACATTTTACTCAAAATATCAATTCATCAATCAAACCATATCCAATGATATAAATCATACATCAAATAATATATCCGGATATCCAACTGGATCCTTCTTCTTCTATCCATCCCTGCCAGCCAAGAGGTCTGCAACAGGAGTCGTTGCAGGTACAGGAAATGCGTTGCGGATCATTAGCTATCTGCGTCGTACTGTGATCTGGAGGGTGGTTCCGAGGTGGCTTAGACAAACAAACACACTCACGCACAACTTTCGCTTGGAAAGAGCACTAACTAATAACAATAATTAATGGAGGTTAAGCTGCCAGCAAGTTTTATTTTGCAGGTACAAACATCTGACAAAGATAATATGATTGATAGTCTACAAAATAGACCAGTGAAACAGGGGGTACGAGTATCAGTCGCTTTCGCAGCAATTTATCGTTTTGTCAGCCAAAAGTATAATTAACCGTATCAATTTAGTTTAGAGAAATTTTGAACGCCAAAGTTCGATCCATCATTGAAATTGTGTAGCGTCTTGAAATATTTATGTTAACAACATGTATATTCCAAATGTATGTAGGAACAAAAATATATATGCCAATGTTCCCACAATAATTTATATATTATTTGTTTTTTTATTATATTAACTAGTCTATTATGGTTGTCGAGTCTATCAGCATACCGAGTCACTGAGAAACTGAGTAACTGAGCTCTATGAAGCAATCTCAAATCTATACTGCACTCTATACATGCAATCAAAGGCGGCATTATCAACAAACAGATCGTCACACAATTTAGCAATTCAACTAGAGTCACAAACACAACTAGGCAATTAATGTTTGACAGATCAAATGCTGAAAAATTGCAATAGAAATTGATAAATTTAAGTGGAAATAGGAGGGAACATTTCAAGGCGGATATATTGATTAGGTACAGATAGGTACAGATGGTGACTAGTTATATTGGTAAATAAAGTTCGTATTGAGAGGAAATAGCTACAGTGGAAATAGGAGGGAAGATTCGAACGCATATAATATTGATAATATATAATAACATATGATGTATTGGAGTATGACCATGATAATAGATAATAATAGCACGTACAGTTCATCTTAGTTGAAAATTATTTTAGCAGCTCATGCAGTTACCTCACCATATAAAAAGACCAAACCAAATTTATGATCTCCAAATCGCTGTCAATGCGGCGGTGCAGATAAATACGGAGATAGTGGTAATGCGGGTATCAGAATGCAAGTATGCAGTACAACAGTATGTAGGAAGCAGTAGCAAGTAATGCAAGTTTATGAATACCTGCTAATAATTATTTCAAACAAGCACTTTAAGCACTACGTGCTTAATTGCTAATAGTTCTTCATCATTGTAAACAAGCCTGTCTTGCTTGGTAGGATTATTTATATACAATATTACTACAATATTATAACAATTATTTTATACAGGTAGGCATATTATCATTGCCTCCTAATTCCACTGTTGCTCCCGGCAATCGGCTTGCGGCATCGGCCGCATCAACCCCCCTCACCCCCCTCGTGACTTAACGTGCACTCTTAACTGTGACACTTTCCAGAAATTCCAGAAGATTAGTCAGACACGACCGCCCTGAGCGGAATGTGTGTGTATGTGTGTGTGTGTGTTGTGTGTTGTCTTGCGTGGTGTGCGTGTGTGCGTGTGTGTATGTGTGGCGTGTGCGTGTGCGTGGCCGCGTGGTGCGGCGCTGTAGCGCGTGGCGTGTCGTGTGCGTGTGGGCGTGTGAGATAATGGGGGAGGTTGAGAGAGTGGAAGGCGAGAGAAGTAACTATATTAGAAGAAACGTGTGCTTCCGTGCTGTGCGTGTGCCGTACGTGCGTTTGTCTGTGTATTGTGCGTTCATCGTGCGTATATATTTAGATTATTTATATGAATATAACCGTGGACAAAGAGCTTATAATGATGCTTTATCATTATAAGCTCTTTGCGTGGATTACGAAATAAAATATAATTTAATCACAATGACAACAGATGGCGCTCTGATCAGAACCTCGCTTTCGGGCCCATCGACCTCTGTAAGACCGGTGCAAAAATGTTTTGTAAAGCCGTGGTATTTTCTCCACAATGGTAAGTTTTGCAGTTAGAAAAGGTAATCTCGAGAATATACTAGGCTGGGTGAAGCAAAGAAGGTTTTCTTTTTATTAGGCACGCAGCACATTAATAGAAACTCGTTTGTCTTGTCTTGTCTTGTCTGATACTCATACTGTACAAATGCAGAAAGGGTCGTTGTCGTATCAATAATCAGGTAGGGCCTACTAGTAGTAGTACTACTAGCTAGTACTACAATCTACATATATCATATGTACCCGAGGTTTTTAGTTGTTATAGTATTATGTTTATTTTTATAATGAGGTATGTTTAGGGTTAGGGTTAGGGTTAGGGTACACTTCTGTAGTACAACTACAAGTCCGATGCACAGGTTCCGATGCTCGGACGAATATCCACGTCGTTATATGTATTAGGCCTACCTGATACGACAACGACCCCTTCAGCTGTACGCACTAATCGCCTGGTGTGGCTATGTATAGACGTACATCATGCATCGCTTTGATGACCTAAATTCTCTTCACGTTTTCTTTACCGCTGTTAATTAAATGTTTAAATGAAGCCACATCAGGAGCAGTCTTGGTAGTAGGTGGGTTAACCTAATTATTAACATAATTAACTATTCTTATCAGTGTATAGTATTGATTGTTAAAGATTGTTATATTAATATTATTATTAGAAAAACATTAGCAAGTGTAATAATCATTCTTATCTTTATTATAGCACTCAGGTGCGTGGGATGGTTACTCTAAAGGATAGTAAGTATACAAACATTTACCATGGTTAACGTATTGCTGTTATAGTTTGGTAGCAAACTTTTATATGGTTTAATTGCATATATTAATTGATATGACTAATGTCTAATTGTTTTAATTACCTAATAATGCTGAGAAACTCAATCTGTCATTTCCAAAAAAATACATAATCCTATGCTTAGACACAAGTCGATAAACAACTTGGTTAATATCTGGTGCGGAACGCTTTCCTGTGCATTCCTGTTTCCATTCATCGGCATATTTGCAATCTAATTGTCTGTTTCAGTTTCGATGCGGATTAAATCTGTTGGAAATATTCAGAAAATTACCAAGTCCATGAAAATGGTCAGTGCTGCAAAGTTCTCGCGAGCAGAACGTGAGCTTCGGCCAGCGAGGCCATATGGTGTTGGAGCTAAAGGTATTGGTTAATGTGTGCATCGAAGCTGTACTCGTTTTGTGAATTTTCTCTCCCAATTAGGAGGGTTGCTGGATGGCTGGTTTATTCAATAATCATTGGATATCATGGTTTCACAAATCTGCCAACGGTGCAATCACGCGTATTAGATTGGGACACATTTTATGTTAGGTGGAACCTTCCATATCTTTTTCTGTCGTTGATTGTCTCCTGTTTCTGCACAATAGATCAACGCTGGCATGAGTACAGTTATGTAAACATTTCTTTTCAGTTTAACCGGCAAGCTTTGTCATTTTCATTTAAACATAAACACCAATGAATCTATCTGCCTTAAGAAAATAACCGCACCCCACTAGATGTTGTTGCTATGTTGGTCAGGCTTTCCAAGTTTACACGTGTGTCGATGTTTGCACGCATAAATGCCGATTTGTTGGCGGCATTACTAAGCATTGGGTTTAGAATGTCCTATTACAATGTTAATTGGCTAGAGATGTCGGTCAATCACTCCAGGTGCATAGGCCAGTTCATTAACGATCCGTGTGCACTGATTCATGATGTGTGTACCATGTTTCAGCATTCTATGATAAAGCTGAGATCAAGTCTGAAGGGGAAATGCCCAAGCATCTGATAATTGCCATCTCGTCGGATAGAGGTCTCTGCGGGGCCATTCATAATGGTATTGGTCGCGCTATCAAAAGTGAGATAGCCGGGGCTGCCAGTGGCATTGAAACCAAGCTCGTTCTTGTCGGGGATAAATGCAGGGCAATTTTGCAAAAGTGAGTTATCATTTACTTATGCAGTCTTCGAATTTAGCCAGAGTGTCTGACGCCCGAGACATGTAGAAATCTCGGGGAGCATGTAAACATTGCAAGCTAACTTGCCCGCCATTTGATTAACTAAAGGTTTTTAATGTAAAATCACACGAAATATGTAATTCATATTATAAAGTTTTTCTGGGATGCAGTACTTAGGTAAAGTGGTATATTTTACTATACGGGCAATTATCTGGTCATTTTCACACATACGCTGATTACATTTCAGGGATTATACAAAAAATTTCCTTTTGACCTTGAACAATTACGGGAAGAAACCGCCGACCTTTAATGATGCTGCTTTGGTTTCCCAAGCTGTCCTGAACTCTGGATACGAATTTGACATTGGCGACATATATTTCAACCGATTTAGGTATCATATGAGTGTTTTCATTTCAGTAACAACTGCATCTAGATAACTGCAATGGATTGTAAATCCCTAAAAATTCAATTTGAAGTGAAAAATACCGAACCAAGAACATGTAGTTTGCGGAATTATGGGTTTAGCTGTGAATGCGATGTAAATTGCTTGTTCAACTGTTGCAGTAGGGCTTCTTGTACGTGTAACAGGGTGACGAGATGTTCTCGCTCTCTCTGTCTGTCTCTCGCGCGCGCTCTCTCTCTCTCATTCTCTTTCTCTCTCTCCCGCTCTCTCTTCCACCCCTCTCTTTCTCTTACACTCACTATGTCTCTCTCGCTGTCTCAGGTCGATCGTGTCGTACAAAATAGCGAAGCAACCGATGTTTTCGTTGGACACGATCACGGCGTCGCCGAACGTCTCCGTCTACGACTCGCTGGACGGTGAGGTGCTCCGCAGCTACCAGGAGTTCTCGCTTGCCAGCCTGCTCTTCTACGGCATGAAGGAGAACTCGACGAGCGAGCAGAGCTCCCGCATGACGGCCATGGACAGCGCTACGAAGAATGCCGGTGAGTGTCGTCATCGCTGCAGGCTCGCACACGCAAAGATGAAAGCAGGGGAGGTTGCCGTATGAACAGAGAGAGGGAGGGGAGAGAGAGAGAGGGAGGAGAGAGAGAGAGAGAGAGAGAGAGAGAGAGAGAGAGAGAGAGAGAGAGAGGGAGAGAGAGAGAGAGATGAGAGAGAGAGAGGAGAGGGGGGAGACAGA